AGTGTAAGGGAGATCAAGGCTGCCCAGCAATTTAAGCTTGCCTCCATCCCCTACACCTTGCAATGAATGCTCTGTCTGACTTTTCCCGTCCACACACCACGTCATTTACTCTTCTCTGCGTGCTTGTGCGCTTATGAACTCTTTGTGTTCCCTCTGTTGACGCTTCAAAATCGCTCTATTGACACTGCAAAATCGCTCTGTTGACGCTGCAAAATTGCTTATCATCTCCCTCCCTCCCTCCCCCCCTCTCTCTCTCTCTCTCTCTCTCTCTCTCCTCCCGTAGCTCTCTCCCTTTTGAAATTCGCTTCCATAGAATTGGGCACCATTGCCCGTTTGGCCTTGCGAAGTAAAATATAAATCAACAACAACAAGTGTGCGGGCCAACCAGCTGGGATAGAGGCGGCGGTGCATGCGGTGCAGCAGATTTACAATGAAGAGGAGACAGATGGAGTGCTGTTGGTGATTGCTCGCAATGCATTTAACAGCTTGAACAGAGAAGCGGCGCTACACAATGTCCAGCGGCTATGTCCTGCCCTCTCCAGCGTCATCATGAACTCCTATCGAAACGGCCGCACGTTTATTTGTTGCAGGTGGAGGGGAAGTCAAGTCGAGTGAGGGAACCACGCAGGGCGACCCCCTCTCCATGGCCTTTTACGCAGTTGCCACCATACCGATCATCACTCGTCTCCAGGAGCAGCACACATCAATCCGGCAGAGCTGGTATGCGGATGATTCCAGCGGAGCAGGTAGGCTGAGACAGATTCGGTTGTGGTGGGACGAGCTGCAGGCAATTGGACGGCGATACGGATACTTCACGAACTCCGAAAAGACCCAGCTCCTTGTCAAGCCAGAGCTGGATCAGGGAGCACGCCAAGTGTTTGCCGAGACAGGGATCCGCATTGTCACGGGGAGCCTGCGTTATCTCGGCTCCGAGATTGGATCGGAAGAGACGGTCGCGGAAAATATGCAGCAACGGGTGGCGAAGTGGAAGGAAGAGCTGAAGCAGCTTACTGAGATTGCAAAAACGGAGCCACATGCTGCCTATGCTGCAATATCTCATGGTTTACGTGGTAGGTGGACCTACCTATTGCGTACAGTGCCTTTCCCTGCACAATGCCTTACCGACCTGGACAAGGTGATCACGGAGGAGCTTCTACCTGCTCTAGCGGGCCGTGATTCCTTCCTACCAGAAGAATTGAGCCTTCTCCGCCTGCCCTGTCGACTGGGGAGGGGATGGCCCTGCCGTGTTTTCAGCAAATGGGTACGGCGGAGCTCCCTGCGTCGAGAGCTGTAACGGCCCTTCAGGTGGAGGAGATTGTACACCAGAATGATGTTCAATTCACCCATAACTCCACGGAGGATGTTCGCCAGGCAGCCCTAAGCGAGAAGACACGGCTAGCGCATGACCGTCGTCAGGGGGAGCAGAATGATTTCGTCACGATCAAGAGCAGTGCGTCCCCTGCCTTGGCTCGTCGGCTGGAGAGTTTATCCACGAAAGGCGTGTCGAGTTGGCTCGGGGTGTTGCCTCTGGCAGACCATGGTCATTCTGTCCAAGGGAGACTTCCGCGACGCTCCAGCTCTCCGCTATGGTTGGTCTCTCTTGGACACACCAGCGAGCTGTGTGTGTGGGGAGCCGTTCGACGCCACGCATGCGATGATTTGCCTGCTAACCTGCGAGTGCGCATGTGATCATTCACATGCTCTACAATAATATTACTTACAAGAGCCGTAGCTACTACTACAGTCCATTCAGAAAAAAATGAACTTCTAGCTTTTGGCCATAAATGGGTCAAACTTTGAGTTTTTTTAGAATTTTTTTTGGCAATCCCCTATGGAATCCTCTTCCAATTATGTTTCTGAAGTTTTTTTGTCCAAAAAGCAAGCCATAGCAAGAATAGGATTTCGGCCAGGTTTTGCCCCAAAAGCACAGAATTGGGAAAACCATCAAAATCCAGGCCGTTTGACCCCGCCTGGCAACAGTGCATTCTGCGGTTCGAACCCCAGTTCAGGCACCCTTTTTGGACCCTTTTTCAAATTTCAAAGTTCGCAGCACTGCACTGTGTACGATGAAATCACGAAAAACCGCCAAATACGGGAGCTCACCAGAGCCAGAGCCCATCTTTTTATGAATGGACTGTAGTTCTAGTAGTGTAGTCACACTATACATGTACATGTATGTACACCAATCCTACGCAACACTTGCCTATAGTCTATACAGTTTTTACTGATTTTGGCATTTTAACTGACAAATGTATGAAAGTTCTGAAGTGGAGACTGTCAGAAAATGCCACAGAATTAGTGAATGTGTCAGCGGTGAACAGGAAGGTCATCTTGAAAACGCTCGCTAACAGCTGTGAGTCAGAGAGATGTGGTTTCGCCCGCTCGTTCATTATCAAATTGCGCTACCACTCAAAATCCACCAGATGTTGTTGTTGTTGTATACTTTATTTATAGTGGAAATCAAAACAGGCAAAATGCCTAATAACATTGGACCCACTGTGAATAACATGTTAAAGGATATTGTGGAGAAAAAAAAAAAAAAATAGATACAAGAGAAAAAGAGAAAGGAAAAAAATGACGGAAGGTTGGTTGCAACGAACAGATATCAATCCAGTAAGCATTGGAAAACCTATGTCGCTGATAATATATACTGCAAGGCTTGAGATTTAAAATCCAAATACCTATTTGAACATTTTGCTGCTGGTGGCAATCTATTCCACATAATGGCTCCAGCGTGCGTTAGGCGCTTAGCAGAACGAGCAGTGCTAGCAGGTGGGACCACAAGCAAGTTGCTTTGGCCTCCCCGAGTGCGAGTTGAGGGCACGACAGCAAAAAAGGACTCAAACAGGGTGCTACATGCATCATGCAAACATCGCCAGATGAAACACAACATATTCAAGTGCACAGAAACCTGTAGATCACATACATGCATTCGATTTAGCAGGGGAGCAGTACTGGTCCACGGTGGCGACTTGCAGACTGCCCGAGCGGCACGTTTGAATAGCCTATGTAGCCGTTGTTCCTGGGCAACTGTCAAATACGGGTAGTAACTAATAGAAGCATACAAAAATTCAGGCAAAACGATAGATCTGAAGTAGGTGAGTCGGCATGGATACGGCAGCGAGGAAGCATGTCGCAGCAGGACAGCAATTTTGCCGGCAACACGACGAGCAACATGGTCCACCATTGTGGTCCAACTCATGTCCGAGTCAAAATGCAGGCCAAGGTATTTGGCAGATGTGACTACTGGTAGGACTTGTGAATTGCATACAACATTGATGTCGAGGGCTGCAGCTCTATGGTGTGGTATGGCGAGTATCTGCGTCTTGGTCTCGTTAAGGATCAGTCCACGTTTCTTCAACCAAGTGGCCAGGTACTGAACTGCTGCAGTGAGGCGCTGGGAGACAACTTCTGGCTGTGGACTGCTCGCACGCAGCGAGATGTCATCAGCAAACTGAATAGTGGTGACGTCATGAGGGGCAAGGTCGCCGGCAATATCCCTCACATACAGAACGAAGAGCAAAGGTCCGAGAACTGACCCCTGAGGAACCCCTGACTGGCTGTCATAAGTTGTACTTCTGGTTTTTCCTGTCTCAACGTATTGCCGGCGATACATCAAGTAGTCTGAAAACCATTGCAAAAAGCAGTGCTAGTGAGACCCAGTTCAAAGAGGTCCTCAACCAGAATGCTATGCTTTACCTTGTCGAAAGCTTTAGACATGTCGACAAATGCTACTCCTGTGTGCTGTGCCAGTTATGCCTCTATTTCTAGCACTTTCCTTAGATAGTGGTTCACATGAACTTTTCGCTACTCTAGAACATGCATACATGATGTACTGGAACATGCAAGGCATAGTACCACTAACTCTGTCTTGTGCTTTCTCAGTCTAGCCACAAATAACTTTAAAAGAAGCGTCTCAAGTTACTTTCTTATGATTTTTGCTCACGAATACTTCGCTATCGAGTATTGTTTTCTATGATGTGCTTGCACATCTGTACTTCGAGTACTGGCTCACAAAATCCCATATGAATAAGAGGAAAACTCCATCCCATTATTTTGAAAACAGATACGATAATCATGAGTGTTTGAAGACTCAGCGCCTGAGACAAGACTTTCTTCAGCAGCTGTAGAATATGATAGGCCAGCATTAGTATTGACACATTTCTGCGGGATGAGCAGATCAGCCGAAAAAGTGAACTAAAAAGAAACGGGCACTATGGTTACTAATTGGAGGGGAAATACCCGATCCTGACAGTGAGTGGGTAGAAACCAGACTGAAGGCAGTGCGGATTAGGATGTTGAGCTGCAATTCTACTGATGCTACAAACATGTGGCCAGCACCATGGGTGATGTTAGTGAAGACAATATGCGGAAAATGAAATTGACGAGACATTTGAAAAAGGAACTTCTACAAATGTGGCAGTCGTCTGATTGACTAGTTCCACAGCCTAATGAGCAACATCCCGGCTCCATCTTTAATGAAATAACCTTGAAAACATTCAGCGTTGGACAGCGTTGATACGATAATTCAATATCACAAAAGCGAGTATTGAACTTGCATCTGTACACTTCATACCTCTTTTTTGAATTAGGTAATTATAATAAAAAAATTGTTAACTCCGTAAAACTTAGGAGTTTTGATAATAATTACGTTGAAAGTGATGATGTGCCTTAAAAACCTTATTGACAGTGTTTAACACGTCCATTCACGAAGCTGGCTGCAGTGCCATTTTGAAAAGGCAGTTGTCCAGCTCATGAGAATAGTGTTTTCAAGCCGTGTAATGTTTGTTTGCTTAGTATTGCCTTTTTGGGAGGTGTCTTCGTGCTGACAGAGAGTGAGCGTCATGCGAGGGCAGTACGGGGTGCAGCTATTGTCCTGCATGATTGATTGATTGATTTTATTTGGATTCGCGAGACCAAACGAGCAGGAGTGCTCAATAACAGGGTAGCGAATGGTTGAGTTGTGCTATGTGACAATGTAGTGTGTGCGTGGAGGGGGGGGGGGGGGGGAGCTGCGGAGGCCCAATACAATGTAAGGGGATGGGAGAGAAGGCCAGCGGAGAGTCAAATTCAGAAGAGGGAGGAGAGAATAGCTGAAGTACACGGTTACTGAGCGAATTCAAATAAACCAAACAAACAGCAAAACAAGTACACAGCTCACGAGAATAAAGAGGACTGGATGAAATAGTGTTGGCTGAGCAGTTGCCGAATGCTGTGCAAAATGCTGCTGGTGCAGCTGCATCGGCGATGGGAGAGAGTGCTTCTGTGCCTGATGGTTGTGCGTCTGAGACACAGGTGATGACTGGTGCTGCGGTGTGTGAGCCACCAGTGCCGGCAACAGCGATAGCTGTGTGTGTGTGGGCGTCGGCAGCTGATGGTGGTGAGTTAGATAGATTTGCGACTGCTGACATTGGTCATGTGATGCCTGGTGCTGCTGATGCTGCTTCTGGAGCTGCTGTTCTGGATGTTGATGATGAGGTTGTTGCTGCAACTGCTGACGTGCTGCCGGGTATTGGAAGTGAGTATGTTGCTGCTGAACAAGCTGTCTGTTTTGAGTTAGTTCTGGCACAGCTGCTGGCACAGCTGCTGCTTCTGTTGCTGCTGTTGCTTCTGGCTGTGGTGGCGGCGGCTGTGGGAATGTCTGTATGGAACATGTAGGCAAGGGATCATTTATTGTTGCTCTACTGCCTAGGCTTGCCACTACTAGGTCACCCTTTCCGGCATTGTCATGGCATACTTCACTGAACACCGCATAGCTATCAGACGGCTGTCCAGGTGGTGTTGGCAGTGCACTGTTGACCAGATGACTACCAGCAGTTGCCTGGGCAGAGTGCAAATGATAAGGTAACTGAGGCAAAGATGACGTGGATGTTGAATTCACAGTCAGCATGCTTAAGGACGTTCCCAGTGGTAAGTGTTGCGGCTGTGCAGGCTGACACTGGTCCATGCAAGTCACAAGTGCAAAACCTTGTTGTTGATGTTGGTGCTGCTGCTGCTGTTCTTCCTGTTGTTGATGGTGGTGGTGCTGGTCTGCAAGTACCTCATCGGATGAAATCGAACTGCCATGATCACTTTCTCCGTCCACAGCAATAGAACCATCCGCAGACGGCAAGCCACTGTTCTCTGCGCTGGTGTCCGTGGTACTGTAGGAAAGAGCATTACCGCCATTGGCTGCATTTCGAGCATCATGCTGCTTGGTGTGCTTTCTAAGCGAGCTCGGGTGTGTAAATCTCTTCGTACATCCTGCTGCCCTGCATCGGTAGGGTTTATCATTCGTGTGCACGTGCATGTGCTTCTTTCGATCCGAGGAATTTGCGAATCTTCTCTTACAGTCCGGGAAGGTGCAGGCAAACGGCGTTTCCTTTATGTGGACTCTGTAGTGTATCTCCAGGTTTTCGGCTCTTGCGAATGCTTTGCGTGTGCAGTCTTGATGATTGCAGATAAAGGGTTTTTCCCCTGTATGAACTCGTATATGGTTGACAAGCTTGTACTTGGCTTTAAATCCTTTCTTGCGTGAACACTGGTCCCAGTGGCAGATGTGGACGTTGCCATCCTCCTTTTCGGTAGTGTCCTGTTGCTGGAGATGAACGTTGCTTATGTGCTGCGCTAGTTCGGTGACACTATAGAAAGCCAACCCACACAATTGTAGACCGTTGTTTACACGCCATTCGCACAGATTTCTGGGATGTCCGCCAAACAGTGGAGGGGCAGAGGGGTTGTCCAGTTGATACTCGACGCCTTGTGCTAGATGGTGCAGTGGGGTCTGTGGAAAGCCGGCGTGCATTTCCGCAGGATGGTTAGAGCTGGCCATACTGCCGTGCATTGCTGGGACACTACTCGGCAGATAGCTGCTAGCAGTGGCATGGAAGTGGTGACTCATTTGCTGGCTGTAGGGAGTCGCAAATTGTGCTGGTGATGACATAACACCAATGGTTGGTTGAGGCTGTGGTGGGAGACCCAGTGTTGACTCCACTAATGATGGTCTAAGCCCCACACTACTACTGCTAGCTCCTCTGAAGCCACCAGTGTTGATAGGTTGTCCAATAAGGCTGTGCTGCTGACCAACAGGCTGCGGTTGGTTTGCAATAGGCTGAGTTAAGCTAATGTTGGGATGAGGCTGTACTGGAGTGACATATGTCCCTGCAGCTTGCAGCCCTGCCTGTACCTGTTGATGTGTCCCATCAAATGCTGTGTTACATAGCAAAGCAGAAATTGACAATGTGCAAATAAGGTATTAAAGATAGCAATTGTTAGATACTTGAAAAAACTGACTGAAGTGGTCCCGCACCATAGATGTGTGCTTAGTTTTACAATAGTGAATTGTCCCTCAGCACACATTTATGAAATCAATGGTCCCTGCGCTGGCACACACACACACACACACACACACACACACAGATCATGCACACATACGGGCACACAAACACACATGCGCACACACACACACACACACACACACACACACGCGGACACACATGAACATAATTATGCACACATGCACGCAAGCACAAACCAACATGCACGCACGCACACACACGCATACACGTGTCATACAGGTACCGTTGAAGCAGTCATGTACATGATTGTACACACTGCTCTCTGAAGTAGCCAAGGACCTCCTTCTACATGGCTAGTACCAGGGAGTAGTATTTTACTACTCCCTGGCAAGTGAAGGCTAGGCTAACGCCGATGCCAACGCGAAAGGGCTGATGATGATGATGATGATGATGATGATTATGATGATGATGATGATTATGATGTTTAGAAACAGCGGGTGAGAAAGGCACCTCCAGCTGGCTGACCGCCCAACCGTCATACAATCAGCCAGTAACCATACTCAATAAATCTGATTTCCGGGATGCTCTCTGCTTCCGATACGGTTTGGAGCTGGATGGCCTCCCTGAGACTTGTGTTTGTGGAGCAACTCTAAGCACTGAGCATGCAATGGCTTGTCCTACTGGCGGCTACACCATCGCACGCCATAATGATGTTCGCGATTTGCTGGCGGGTGTACTGTCGGAGGTATTGCCTGACGTGGAGGTGGAGCCGGTGCTAGCGCCATTTGATGGGGAGGATCTTCCCCATCGTACAGCCAACAGGAAATCCGAAGCTCGCCTCGATGTGAGGGCGCGGGGTTTCTGGTCCAGGCAGCAGGAGGCTTTTTTTGATGTTCGGGTGACTCACCCAAAGCCAAACCTGCTGTCGCGTCCAGAAGTCCAGCGCCATCTCCAAAAGCATGAAGGCATGAAAAAGCGGGAATACGGAGCGCGTGTTGTGAATATAGACCGAGGCACATTCACCCCGTTGGTTTTCGCCACGAATGGCATGCGTGGCCGGGAGGCAGACCGCTTTCTCAAGTGTCTTGCAGCCCAGTATGTCGATAAACACAGTGACTTGGCCTACTCGCTGGTTATGGGTCGATTGCGGTGCCTGCTCTCGTTCACTTTACTCCGTTGGGCAGTGACCTGTTTTCGCGGCTGCCGTAGCTCCTACCAGAAAAAGTCAGTCAAGAATTTCAGGAGTTATTGTTTGATGGGTCGTTAGATAGAGGCCGGTGTTTGTGAGACTGCAATCATTTAATGTTTCTTCCTTAGTGGTGTAGGTAGATTCTGTTTTGTAAGCATAGTAGGACTACTTTTGTTTTGTAAGTCAATCTCATTCTCCACGCTTTGCTGTCATTTGGTTATGTTTTAAAGTAGTTTTTATGACCTGATGTTTGTTTTTTATATTTGTAGTTCTATTGTTGACATCTTTTGTCTTTTCTTTGGGTTAAAAGGTTAACTTCATCCTCGTTTTCCTATTGCCTTGTATTGGAATTTGCCCATAAAAGTGGCTACGGTGTGATAATGCATTTCTATAAATTATTTCGTGTTTTAACATTATTTTCAGAAAATTGCTCTTACAATACCTTGCGTTTTATATTCATAATATTGTTGCCCGTAAAAGCGGCTTGGTCACATGATGATGATGATGATGATGATGATCCCCATGCTCATTGTGTTCAACTGCACTTTGCGTTCCTTTTTATATTGAGTTCCAGTGCACTTTGTGTTCATTTTCCTCTCTTTTTCATTCTATTTGAATTTTGATGTATTGCGTTTTTGCTTGCCCGTAGAAGAGGCTGTTCAAATGATGATGATGATGATGATGATGATGATGATTAATATAATGCTATTTTGGTTTTTTCCCCTTTTATTACTCTGTGTTCATTGCTTGTTTTTGTATTGATTTACTTCCTTGACTGCTTTTGTGTTTCATCATTTTCCGGTTGGTTTTGTGTTGATTTCCCCTGTTCACTTTACATATTGTAATGATATACATTTGCTTTGCCCGTAAAAGAGGCTTTTCTCATGATGATGATGATGATGATGATGATGATGAAAAAAATAATCAATATGCCAGCCGCGTTGTGAATGTCGAGCGAGGATCGTTCACCCCACTGGTGTTCTCGACTTATTGTTTCAGCGGGCCTGAGACAACTCAATTCCTAAAGTCTCTTGCCTCTCTCTTTGTAGAGAGAAGCCAGGATCTCAAATATCCTGTTGTCATGGGTATGTTGCGTACCCGCCTGTCGTTTTGCCTCTTGAGGTGGGCCATTACGTGCTTTCGTGGTTGCCGAGGGTCTTATAACAGACGGCGGGTGAATTCCTTTGTGGCCCAGTCTCGTTTGGCCGCATAGTGAATTTTTATGCTATGCCTCTCAACAATATCACTATGGATAACATCACATTTTAAAAATAACTATTTGGTAAAGTAACATCATCTGTCATTCAATATCTATCTGGTAAAATAATCAGCATTTGAATATCTACTTGGTACTAATCATTCAACTGTTAAATGTCATATTTTTACCTGAATATCTATCACGATTTTTGCACATAATCTCGGTTATCACCGTTTCAAGCCCGTACAAGAGGCCGTTTCCAATGATGATCATGCTCGTTTTCTTATTGCCTTGTATTGGAATTTGCCCATAAAAGTGGCTACGGTGTATTGTATTGTATTGTATTGTATTTATTGAAAAGGATTCTCCAAAAGCAAATGGATGCTTATCACGGAAGTCTCCCACATAAATATCGCAAGAAAAATGGGGAAATGGGGGAGAGGAGAGTGGAAGATGAAGCATGGGAAGAAGGGAAACAAGTAAAAGTACCTAAATATCGAGGTATAAAAGCAGGAAAGAAATCGACGAGGGAAGAAATCACCTCTGCAGATAATAGCGGGACATTTAGATGAAAAAAAATCCAGCAAGGATTAATTTCAAGGAAAAAAAATTCTCAAACGGAAAAGTTCGGAATTCCAGTCAGAGAATATCTATGCTGTGAGTAATGAGCCTTTAGAGCAATGCGAAAGTTGACAGAGGACTGAACGCAGCGGATGTGTTCTGGAAGTTTGTTCCATTCCACAGATAAACTGAAGAGAGGGGATTTAAGGAAATGGGCGCCAGAACGAGGTAAAACTATAGAGGACGGGTGACGACAACTAAGGGATACATTGAATTTGAAACGAATTAGCAAAGACGGAAACTGGTAAAAGACATGATGAAAATACAGCAAGGACAGAATCTGACGACGCCACTTCAGGGATGACCAGTCACAAGTACGATTAAGAATCTGCTTCGGGGTTTCCCATTCAGGAGGGTGCCGGGTCTTACAAAGCAGATATGAACGAGCAGCAACGGCTTGCAGTCGGTCTAACGTAAGCGAATCTGAATGGGATACGGCGAATGACCAGACAGGGACTGCGTATTCTAACAGTGGTCGTACGTAACACTTGTAGAGCAAATTCACTTTTGAAGCAGAAAGGAAATGGGCCATATGGCGCAACAGAAAAACACGACTGCGAAACTTATGGGTGATAGATTTTATATGGTCAGAAAAATTTAGTGAAGGAGTGATAGTCACGCCGAGATGACAGTGGCTATCACCTTTCTGAATAGGCACACCGTTCATTGTCAAGGGGGATGACGGGCCGGGGGCTAATGCATATTTTTGAAAGGGTAGGTGGACGCATTTACTGGTGTTAAACGGCATGGCAGTAGCTGATGACCATTGACAACACTTATCAATGTCAGTCTGGAGCAATGCATGATGGATAGGAAATGAGGTGTTTGCTGGAGAAACAAGAATTAAATTAGAGTCATCAGCAAAAAGGGATAGGGTACTAGAAGCAGGGGCATCAGGAAAGGAGTTGATGCACAGGTTAAAAAGAAGCGGGCCGAGATGGGAACCTTGGGGTACGCCAGCGGTGATGGGCAAAGGGTCAGAAAGAGTTTGGCCAATGCGAACGCAAATACTACGATCACTGATGAAATCCTTCACCCAAGAACAGGCAGAAAGAGAACACCAACCTGAAACAGATTGAATAACTAAATGATGACTAACTCTGTCAAAGGCCTTAGAAAAATCAAGGAACAGCTGGTCACAAGAAGACTTAGAGTCAAATGCACGCGAAACAATTGAGGCAAGCTGTACCAATTGGTCAACTGTTGACCTCTTGCGACAAAAGCCAAACTGGCTGGAACTGATAATTTTATTGCTCTCAACAAACGAGTAAAACTGACGGCTAATCATAGACTCATACAATTTGGCAACTGCATTTAACAGCGATATAGGACGGTAATTGACTGTGTGATAATGCATTTTTATATTTCGTGTTTTTCAGAAAATTGCTCTTACAATACCTTGCGTTTTATATTCATGATATTGTTGCCCGTAAAAGCGGCTTGGTCACATGATGATGATGATGATGATGCTGCAATCATTTAATGTTTCTTCCTTAGTGGTGTAGGTAGATTCTGTTTTGTAAGCATAGTAGGACTACTTTTGTTTTGTAAGTCAATCTCATTCTCCACGCTTTGCTGTCATTTGGTTATGTTTTAAAGTAGTTTTTATGACCTGATGTTTGTTTTTTATATTTGTAGTTCTATTGTTGACATCTTTTGTCTTTTCTTTGGGTTAAAAGGTTAACTTCATCCTCGTTTTCTTATTGCCTTGTATTGGAATTTGCCCATAAAAGTGGCTACGGTGTGATAATGCATTTTTATATTTCGTGTTTTTCAGAAAATTGCTCTTACAATACCTTGCGTTTTATATTCATAATATTGTTGCCCGTAAAAGCGGCTTGGTCACATGATGATGATTATAACAGACGGCGGGTGAATTCCTTTGTGGCCCAGTGTCGTTTGGCCGCATAGTGAATTTTTATGCTATGCCTCTCAACAATATCACTATGGATAACATCACATTTTATAAATAACTATTTGGTAAAGTAACATCATCTGTCATTCAATATCTATCTGGTAAAATAATCAGCATTTGAATATCTACTTGGTACTAATCATTCAACTGTTAAATGTCATATTTTTACCTGAATATCTATCACGATTTTTGCACATAATCTCGGTTACCACCGTTTCAAGCCCGTACAAGAGGCCGTTTCCAATGATGATGATGATGATGATGATGATGATGATGATGAAGGTGGATAAATGGAAGCAGGTTCTGGATTCCCTGACGGGGATGGCTGTCACTCAGCCTCAGGCCGCATACACCGTTTTTACGAAGGGTCTGTCATCCACATGGACATACCACTTGCGTTGCTCACCTTGTTCGGCTGAGATACTGGCCGAGCTTGATGAGAGGATCAATGATTGCCTGATACCTGCCCTTCTGGGGGATGGCGTTCGTCCTGGTAGCCCTGAGAGAGAGCTGATGTCATTTCCAGTGCGTCTTGGTGGTTTGGCCCTCCCTCTGTTGCAGGACAGTGCACCAGCAGAGCTCGCAGCATCCTTGAGCATCACAAAGCCTCTTGTTCAGCTACTGTTGACTGGCACATATGCGAACCCTCCAAGCGTGCCTGGTGATATGGCAAGGAGCGATTTGTCGGATACTGCCCAGTCAGAGGGCTCCGGTGATACAACCCAGGAGGTTGCCGACCGAGTGAGGCTCTCCAATCATGATCCCGTCCGCGATGCTGTTGGGGACACCCGCCAGCTGGCACGCTCGACTCGGTCAAGCAAAATGCGGAGCCTATGCAGCCGGCAACAAGACATTAAGGCGGACTTGAGCTCGGAGCAACAATTTCTTGTTGAAATCGCGTCCGAAAAGGGAGTATCGTCATGGTTGACTGTTGCCCCGCGGTGGCAAGATGGAACCATCCTAAAGAAATCCGACTTCCGTGATGCCCTGTGCATCCGCTATGGGCGAAGGTTGAGTGGGCTACCCGATTCATGTGTTTGTGGTGTGCCTCTCAGCCCCGCTCATGCACTTACCTGTGCCACTGGCGGCTATACCATTGCCCGTCACAATGAGGTGCGGGACTTGGTTGCTGGACTACTGAGGGAGGCTGGAGTGGTGGACGTAGAGACGGAGCCCCGGCTATTGCCCTGCAGCAGTGAGCATTTGCCTGGTGGTCGTTCCCTCAACCGATGCGCAGAAGCTCGTCTGGATGTGCGGGCTCGCGGCTTTTGGTCGTGGCAACAGGACGCTTACTTTGATGTGCGGATCACTCATCCCGCAGCGTCTGTGTTGTCTCGATCACAAGCCCTGAGTCAGCTGAAGTCTCACGAGCGAAACAAGAAAAATCAATACGCCAGCCGTGTGGTTAACGTGGAGCGCGGCTCCTTCACGCCACTTGTGTTCTCGACGTACGGCTTTAGTGGCCCAGAAACTACTCAATTCCTGAAATCATTGGCCTCCCTGTTTGTTGAGCGCCATACTGAACTGAAGTACCCACTAGTAATGGGCATACTACGCACCCGTTTGTCTTTCTGCTTGCTGCGATGGGCAGTCACCTGCTTCCGCGGTTGCCGCGGTTCGTACGGCAAGAGGCGACAGCCGAACTCATTTCTGGCCCAGTGCCGCCAGGCGGAGTAGGGTGCTGCCTTTGGCCTCAACTTAATATAATGCTATTTTGGTTTTTTCCCCTTTTATTACTCTGTGTTCATTGCTTGTTTTTGTATTGATTTACTTCCTTGACTGCTTTTGTGTTTCATCATTTTCCGGTTGGTTTTGTGTTGATTTCCCCTGTTCACTTTACATATTGTAATGATATACATTTGCTTTGCCCGTAAAAGAGGCTTTTCTCATGATGATGATGATGGGCAGTCACCTGCTTCCGCGGTTGCCGCGGTTCGTACGGCAAGAGGCGACAGCCGAACTCATTTCTGGCCCAGTGCCGCCAGGCGGAGTAGGGTGCTGCCTTTGGCCTCAACTTAATATAATGCTATTTGGTTTTTTCCCCTTTTATTACTCTGTGTTCATTGCTTGTTTTTGTATTGATTTACTTCCTTGACTGCTTTTGTGTTTCATCATTTTCCGGTTGGTTTTGTGTTGATTTCCCCTGTTCACTTTACATATTGTAATGATATACATTTGCTTTGCCCGTAAAAGAGGCTTTTCTCATGATGATGATGATGATGATGATGATGATGATGATGGTTTTTTTTTTTGATCCCACCTTCCAACCCGGCAAATATTTTGATTTTGATAAAAAGGATTCAAAGCCTCTCAATTATTTATATATAAGAATAATAACAAATTCATGGAATTTTTTAAGGATTTTTATGTTATTCAAAATCGATTTTCGTGTTCCGCTCATCAGTGAATAGTATCGGAACTGAGGGTACTGTGTACAAAAATAGAACATTTTATAACAGCATAATTAATAAAAAGTGTGAGCAACAAAGGAAGTGCTACAGCATTACATAATAGGTGTCAAACATAGTGCTAACGTATATAACTGAGTGCAGCCACAAAGCAAGAGGTGATACAGTGCAACATGACACAACATTTACATCTGATAACCAGCTACGAGAACAACTTTAGCGCGACTACCTTCTTCTTTTGTTTACAAAGAACAGGATTATGCACACGAATACATACAGCTTCCAGAACCTTCAACTGCTTAACATAACTTGCACGGCACAAAACAGAAAAGTGAGAATCATCGTACACACTAAGACAATCTGGACGTGATAACAAGTGACAAAATACAGCTGACTTTTTGCTCACGTCGCTCTCTTCCGTCTCATCCCGCTCCTTTCCTTCGACCTCCTCCGCCCTATCCTCGTCCTCCGTCTCATCTTCATCATCATCGTCCTCATCACCACCATCATCATCATCAGTCACTTCCTCATCATCCGTTTGATGCTCAGTCTCACTGCACTCGAGCATGGAAACACTTTCACGTGTTTCCATGATACGACAAGTTGCGCACGGTCTGCTCACATTCAAATACAGTGCTGCCAACAAATGACAGCGTGCAACAAAAAAATCTTTCCTTGCAAGGGCACATTTTCGGCCATAACTCTTGAGCGGCCGGTCAGATCGGGACACAATTTTCAGAGAATTTGCAGCTATTCACGCTCTTTCAACTGACGTAGCACTCAATATGAATTTACAAATTCGATTTTTCAGCGAATTTTTGGATAGTCTGCCACCTTAAATGTCATATTTTACCTGAATATCTATCACGATTTTTGCACATAATCTCGGTTATCACCGTTTCAAGCCCGTACAAGAGGCCGTTTCCAATGATGATGATGATGATGATGATGATGTGTGGCCCAGTGTCGTTTGGCCGCATAGTGAATTTTTATGCTATGCCTCTCACAATATCACTATGGATAACATCACATTTTTTAAATAACTATTTGGTAAAGTAACATCATCTGTCATTTAATATCTATCTGGTAAAATAATCAGCATTTGAATATCTACTTGGTACTAATCATTCAACTGTTTAATGTCATAGTTTTACCTGAATATCTATCACGATTTTTGCACATAATCTCGGTTATCACCGTTTCAAGCCCGTACAAGAGGCCGTTTCCAATGATGATGATGATGATGATGATGATGATGATGATGATGATGATGATTTTTTATGACCTGATGTTTGTTTTTTATATTTGTAGTTCTATTGTTGACATCTTTTGTCTTTTCTTTGGGTTAAAAGGTTAACTTCATCCTCTTTTTCCTATTGCCTTGTATTGGAATTTGCCCATAAAAGTGGCTACGGTGTGATAATGCATTTCTATAAATTATTTCGTGTTTTAACATTTTATTAGTGCAATTAGGAGTATAATCGATGCAGACATGGCCAGACAACAACGAGTTCATGGAATTTTTAAGGATTTTTATGTTATTCAAAATCGATTTTCGTGTTCCGCTCATCAGTGAATAGTATCGGAACTGAGGGTACTGTCTACAACAATAGAACATTTTATAACAGCATAATTAATTAAAAGTGTGAACAACAAAGGAAGTGCTACAGCATTACATAATAGGTGTCAAACATAGTGCTAACGTATATAACTGAGTGCAGCCACAAAGCAAGAGGTGATACAGTGCAACATGACGTACCCTCAGTTCCGATACTATTCACTGATGAGCGGAACACGAAAATCGATTTTGAATAACATAAAAATCCTTAAAAATTCCATGAACTCGTTGTTGTCTGGCCATGTCTGCATCGATTATACTCCTAATTGCACTAATAAAATTGCTTTCTCCACGCCGACTCTTTAAATGTTTTAACATTATTTTCAGAAAATTGCTCTTACAATACCTTGCGTTTTATATTCATAATATTGTTGCCCGTAAAAGCGGCTTGGTCACATGATGATGATGATGATGATGATGCTTTTGTCTTTTCTTTGGGTTAAAAGGTTAACTTCATCCTCTTTTTCTTATTGCCTTGTATTGGAATTTGCCCATAAAAGTGGCTACGGTGTGATAATGCATTTTTATATTTCGTGTTTTAACATTATTTTCAGAAAATTGCTCTTACAATACCTTGCGTTTTATATTCATAATATTGTTGCCCGTAAAAGCGGCTTGGTCACATGATGATGATGATGATGATGATATCTATCACGATTTTTGCACATAATGTCGGTTATCACCGTTTCAAGCCTGTACAAGAGGCCGCTTCCAATGATGATGATGATGATGATGATGATGATGATGATGATGATGAATAATAGACCGAGGCACGTTCACCCCGTTGGTTTTCGCCACGAATGGCATGTGTGGCCGGGAGGCAGACCGCTTTCTCAAGTGTCTTGCAGCCCAGTATGTCGATAAACACAGTGACTTGGCCTACTCGCTGGTTATGGGTCGATTGCGGTGCCTGCTCTCGTTCACTTTACTCCGTTGGGCAGTGACCTGTTTTCGTGGCTGCCGTAGCTCCTACCAGAAAAAGTCAGTCAAGAATTTCAGGAGTTATTGTTTGATGGGTCGTTAGATAGAGGCCGGTGTTTGCGAGACTGCAATCATTTAATGTTTCTTCCTTAGTGGTGTAGGTAGATTCTGTTTTGTAAGCATAGTAGGACTACTTTTTTTTGTAAGTCAATCTCATTCTCCACGCTTTGCTGTCATTTGATTATGTTTTAAGAGAGCATGTCTGAGAAAACCAGAACATATGTGCAAGTCGATCTCTCAGATTTCGCTCAAATTTTGCAGGTAGGTTTGCTTTGGGGTGTAGATCGACATTCCAAAGCCCGCACAAAATCTTTTGAAGGGAACCATGAAATTGGCATACCCCTCAATATTGGCCCAATATTGGCACGATTTATGGGGCTACAAACGAGCCACGGCACAGCGTACAAGAACAAGCTACGAACAAAACTCCATCAAGCCAACATTACCTCACCTTAGAAGAGTTCTTGGGGCAGCACCACTTAGCCACGCCAGCATCCCAGAAGACGAGGGAAATCATCCCTTGACGCCACAAATGATCGTCTTGAAAATAGCCAAATTACAAGCGCTGATAAAACAGCGAGCTACGTCCTCAATCAGCAAACACTATACACCGGCAGATAGTAGAACACCTCTTCTAGCACTGAGGACATGTCCCCCATCATCCTTTTGGGGTTTTCTTGAAATAAACAATTTTGAATTTTTCCACTCGACCATTCTGAAATACGTCCAAACTCATACCTGCGCAGGAAAGCTCGCCCCTCCGCGACGTCTAGTCAGCAATTTCTACTCCAACACCACTCCCAACGCTGCAGAACAAAGTTTATTGTTGACTCTGACAAGGAAAAGCAGCGGTGATCACTTGTCACTCCAAACGACAAGCTTCTCCTTCCGCCACCAACATTTTTCGTTGCAACAGTTGATGCAAAAGTGACTGAATTTTTGCGTGTAGTTTTTGGATTTTACTGCAAGAGGAATGAAGAAATCACGTGGATCGTGACGTAGAATAATGCTTTCTGGTACACGACACAATGCACACGATCGCGATCGTTCCTGAGGCGCTATTCGAAACGGACCATGAGGGAGGAGGTAAGACGCATTATATTTCTTGCATGCTCTGCTCAGAACATGCAGAAACTATCGTTATAACGCTAGCAGTATTGCATTGGCAAGAATTATTGGAGATATTTCCTCTTGCAGTAAGAACAGGGATGCATTTTTTCACACTAACCTCGCTCATCCCGAACATGCCATGGTTCAACAGGAACTACGGCTGGTTTACATGCTGATGATCCACGTAGATCTGCAACAGCAAGGAATGAGCGTGGTCCATGCCATCTAGGTCGGTTGGAGTTGACCAGCGCGCGGCCAACACTGCACTGGTTGCATGAAGTATGTGGCGCGCCCACGGCCACATGGCAGATTTCTTACGTCATGAACAACGTGATTTTGACCCTACTCGCCATAGTCTCTGTGCTGCATGTTGAGGGAAAGTCCCAGCTGGAAGGCCTACAACACGACATGCGTGCTCTTGAGCTGGACATCAAGATGCACTTGATCCGATCTAGATCGACGGGTGATCCATGTAAGTGCAGGGGCGATTGATCAAGGTGACTCGGAACAACTGCTGAACCGTGATCTACGAGACCTGGCATTCTTGTGTCACGAGGCACGTGATTTCATCATTCCTCTTGCAGTAAAATCCAAAAACTACACGCAAAAATTCAGTCACTTCTGCATCAACTGTTGCAACGAAAAATGTTGGTGGCGGAAGGAGAAGCTTGTCGTTTGGAGTGACAAGTGATCACCGCTGCTGTTCCTTGTCAGAGTCAACAATACACTTTGTTCTGCAGCGTTGGGAGTGGTGTTGGAGTAGAAATTGCTGACTAGACGTCGCGGAGGGGCGAGCTTTCCTGCGCAGGTATGAGTTTGGACGTATTTCAGAATGGTCGAGTGGAAAAATTCAAAATTGTTTATTTCAAGAAAACCCCAAAAGGATGATGGGGGACATGTCCTCAGTGCTAGAAGAGGTGTTCTACTATCTGCCGGTGTATAGTGTTTGCTAATTGAGGACGTAGCTCGCTGTTTTATCAGCGCTTGTAATTTGGCTATTTTCAAGACGATCATTTGTGGCGTCAAGGGATGATTTCCCTCGTCTTCTGGGATGCTGGCGTGGCTAAGTGGTGCTGCCCCAAGAACTCTTCTAAGGTGAGGTAATGATGGCTTGATGGAGTTTTGTTCGTAGCTTGTTCTTGTACGCTGTGCCGTGGCTCGTTTGTAGACCCATAAATCGTGCCAATATTGGGCCAATATTGAGGGGTATGCCAATTTCATGGTTCCCTTCAAAAGATTTTGTGCGGGCTTTGGAATGTCGATCTACACCCCAAAGCAAACCTACCTGCAAAATTTGAGCGAAATCTGAGAGATCGACTTGCACATATGTTCTGGTTTTCTCAGACATGCTCTCTTAAAGTAGTTTTTATGACCTGATGTTTGTTTTTTTATATTTGTAGTTCTATTGTTGACATCTTTTGTCTTTTCTTTGGGTTAAAAGGTTAACTTCATCCTCGTTTTCTTATTGCCTTGTATTGGAATTTGCCCATAAAAGTGGCTACGGTGTGATAATGCATTTATATATTTCGTGTTTTAACATTATTTTCAGAAAATTGCTCTTACAATACCTTGCGTTTTATATTCATAATATTGTTGCCCGAAAAAGCGGCTTGGTCACATGATGATGATGATGATGATGATGATGATGATAATGATGATTTTTTTAAATAACTATTTGGTAAAGTAACATCATCTGTCATTCAATATCTATCTGGTAAAATAATCAGCATTTGAATATCTATTTGGTACTAATCATTCAACTGTTAAATGTCATATTTTACCTGAATATCTATCACGATTTTTGCACATAATCTCGGTTATCACCGTTTCAAGCCCGTACAAGAGGCCGTTTCCAATGATTTTTTTTTCCAATGATGATGATGATGATGATGATGATGATCTCAAATATCCTGTTGTCATGGGTATGTTGCGTACCCGCCTGTCGTTTTGCCTCTTGAGGTGGGCCATTACGTGCTTTCGTGGTTGCCGAGGGTCTTATAACAGACGGCGGGTGAATTCCTTTGTGGCCCAGTGTCGTTTGGCCGCATAGTGAATTTTTATGCTATGCCTCTCAACAATATCACTATGGATAACATCACATTTTATAAATAACTATTTGGTAAAGTAACATCATCTGTCATTCAATATCTATCTGGTAAAATAATCAGCATTTGAATATCTACTTGGTACTAATCATTCAACTGTTAAATGTCATATTTGTACCTGAATATCTGTCACGATTTTTGCACATAATCTCGGTTATCACCGTTTCAAGCCCGTACAAGAGGCCGTTTCCAATGATGATGGTGATGATGATGATGATGATGATGAGGATGAGGTTTTTCCCCTTTTATTACTCTGTGTTCATTGCTTGTTTTTGTATTGATTTACTTCCTTGACTGCTTTTGTGTTTCATCATTTTCCGGTTGGTTTTGTGTTGATTTCCCCTGTTCACTTTACATAATATTGTAATGATATACATTTGCTTTGCCCGTAAAAGAGGCTTTTCTCATGAGGATGATGATGATGATGATGATGATGATGATGATAGAAGATTTCTGCCGCTCTTATATGGGGCAGTTGGCGGATAGATGGGCTGGTGACCTGCGCACCTTGTGTGAGATCGCCCAGACTCAACCTCATGCGGCGTATACCGTCTTCTCCAAGGCCCTGTCATCACGGTGGACTTACCACTTGCGCTCAATGCCGTTCTCGACAGACGTTTTGGAGGCCTTGGATGAGATCCTCAGTGACCATTTCCTGCCGGCTTTGCTGGGTCATGGAATTGCGCAGGCCAGCCACCAACGTCGGCTAATGGCTTTGCCTGTCCGACATGGGGGCCTCGCCGTCCCCATATTGTCGAAGACGGCGGCTGGGGAACATCAGGCCTCTGTCAGTGCCACTGATCCTCTGGTTCAGCTTGCGCTATCATCGCCTTCGCCTGACTGTGCTGGTGCGTCACTGCCTCCGCCTGCGGGACCGCCTCTGCATGATCTTAACCAACCACCTATGGGACCACCCCCGCATCATTGTGCTAATATGTCACCGCCTCTGCCTGCTGGGTCGCCTTTGCCTGCCTGTGCTGATGCGTCGCTGCCTCAGCCTCCGCGGCCGCCTCCGCCTGACTGTGCTGGTGCGTCGCTGCCTCCACCTGTGGGACGGCCCCTACCTGGCTTAGACCAACCGCCGGTGCGACTGCCTTCGCCTGACCGTGCTGCCGTGTCACTGCCTCCGCCTGCGGAACCGCCTCTGCCTGACTGTGCTCGTGCGTCGCTGCCTCCGCCTGGTCTAGACCAGCCACATGTGCGACCGCCTCCGCCTGATTATGCTGGCGCGTTGTCGCCTCCACCTGCGGGTCCGCCTCCGCCTGATCTTGACCAACTACCTGATGCCGGATCGCTCTCTGCGCTGCGTGCGGAGCCTGTTGCCGTGGGATTAGGCGTCGAAGAGCCTGGCGAGACTAATCCTAGTGGTCCGTGTGGTGTCGCTGAGGCTGTTGCTGCGGTGCGTGCTGGGCTGCGCCGGGTGAGAGCACGGCGGGACCAGATTTCGCGTGGTGTGCAGGCAGAGATTGGCCCTGGACTGTCTCCGTGCCAGCGGCTACTGTTAGAAACAGCGGGTGAGAAAGGCACCTCCAGCTGGCTGACCGCCCAACCGTCATACAATCAGCCAGTAACCATACTCAATAAATCTGATTTCCGGGATGCTCTCTGCTTCCGATACGGTTTGGAGCTGGATGGCCTCCCTGAGACTTGTGTTTGTGGAGCAACTCTAACCACTGAGCATGCAATGGCTTGTCCTACTGGCGGCTACACCATCGCACGCCATAATGATGTTCGCGATTTGCTGGCGGGTGTACTGTCGGAGGTATTGCCTGACGTGGAGGTGGAGCCGGTGCTAGCGCCATTTGATGGGGAGGATCTTCCCCATCGTACAGCCAACAGGAAATCCGAAGCTCGCCTCGATGTGAGGGCGCGGGGTTTCTGGTCCACGCAGCAGGAGGCTTTTTTTGATGTTCGGGTGACTCACCCAAAGCCAAACCTGCTGTCGCGTCCAGAAGTCCAGCGCCATCTCCAAAAGCATGAAGGCATGAAAAAGCGGGAATACGGAGCGCGTGTTGTGAATATAGACCGAGGCACGTTCACCCCGTTGGTTTTCGCCACGAATGGCATGTGTGGCCGGGAGGCAGACCGCTTTCTCAAGTGTCTTGCAGCCCAGTATGTCGATAAACACAGTGACTTGGCCTACTCGCTGGTTATGGGTCGATTGCGGTGCCTGCTCTCGTTCACTTTACTCCGTTGGGCAGTGACCTGTTTTCGTGGCTGCCGTAGCTCCTACCAGAAAAAGTCAGTCAAGAATTTCAGGAGTTATTGTTTGATGGGTCGTTAGATAGAGGCCGGTGTTTGTGAGACTGCAATCATTTAATGTTTCTTCCTTAGTGGTGTAGGTAGATTCTGTTTTGTAAGCATAGTAGGACTACTTTTGTTTTGTAAGTCAATCTCATTCTCCACGCTTTGCTGTCATTTGGTTATGTTTTAAAGTAGTTTTTATGACCTGATGTTTGTTTTTTATATTTGTAGTTCGATTGTTGACATCTTTTGTCTTTTCTTTGGGTTAAAAGGTTAACTTCATCCTCGTTTTCTTATTGCCTTGTATTGGAATTTGCCCATAAAAGTGGCTACGGTTTGATAATGCATTTTTATATTTCGTGTTTTAACATTATTTTCAGAAAATTGCTCTTACAATACCTTGCGTTTTATATTCATAATATTGTTGCCCGTAAAAGCGGCTTGGTCACATGATGATGATGATGATGATGATGATGATGATGATGATGATGATGTAGTAGTTTTTATGACCTGATGTTGGTTTTTTATATTTGTAGTTCTATTGTTGACATCTTTTGTCTTTTCTTTGGGTTAAACGGTTAACTTCATCCTCTTTTTCTTATTGCCTTGTATTGGAATTTGCCCATAAAAGTGGCTACGGTGTGATAATGCATTTTTATATTTCGTGTTTTAACATTATTTTCAGAAAATTGCTCTTACAATACCTTGCGTTTTATGTTCATAATATTGTTGTCCGTGAAAGCGGCTTGGTCACATGATGATGATGATGATGATGATGATGATGATGATGATGATGATGATGATGGCTAGTGCTGATACCTATACTAGGCTAGAGTACAGTACACGTAGTGACGTACTTCAATTTTTCAAGCATTACTATCTACTTATAGAGAATAGCATGACATCACGCTGGAGTAGCAAGTAGGTTCCTTCCAAGCCCTTGGCCCAATTGGCTCCCAATACTAGAAACAGGCACAAGCTTGAACCTGAACACTTCTTTCGATCAAGTGTGGTCTACACCCAGTCATGAGCTAGTACTAGTACTAGTACCAGTACAATGTATTGCCTACTATTGGACCTGAACACCTTGATACTAACTTACTTGATAGTGAACAAAACATGAACGACTTGCAGCTGTACATGATGGCTTCTTTTTACGCTCTACACATGTTTTGCAGTATCAATATCCCCCCCCCCCCCCCGACCACTCATTACATGTATATGATTGTAGTTCCGGATTTCAACACGAAGAGAACATCATTTTTCAACACGAAGAGAACACCATTTATCACACAGCTTGCGGCAGAGATTCTCCAGATAGTAAGAACGGTCCTTTGCAGTTTCTGATTTCATGCAGGAGACCCAGAGCAGGTGTAAACCTTCCGAACCCTTAGCGACCTCTCTCTGCAGCCGCACAACATGTTCCTCCGTTCTCCCTGCCGCTTGGCGACCTACAGTTTAGAAACTGTGATGCACTCATCGTACTCTCTGCTGGGGCTTCTCTCCTGGATCCTGCTTCACTATGGAAGGAATGAAAGTCATACAGCGAGCTTCCCGTCTTGACTTCTAGAAACCATCCTCCGAACCACTCCACAGCACTGAATCTGCCAAGTACTAGTACACAGCTTCCTGACTACCTCCAAAGAAGTACGTGATTGGCTCAGCTGTGTGACACAGAAACGTACATTTGCCATCCTCTGCTCAGCTATCAACTCCCTAACGTTTCAGTGCAATGTCCCCTGAGCGCCGCCTTTCCTCAACCTCAGTTCGAAGTAGAAGACTTTGCCTTGATTGGTTGCAAAACGCAGTGAAACGGTCTACAAAGGTCGCACCGCACTTGCCAGTATCTCGGAGTTAGTGCATTTAACCAGCAATAGCAGCACAGTTAATATACCATTGGCGATGATTTGCTTGTCGGCACCAGTAGATCCAAAGTTTCACGATTGCCACGCAATCATACTAGTTCTTCGCAAATTCCCACGCAATTAGTACTGTCTGCTTTTCGTTTCAAGCGGCTCGTTGACTACTGCATCTTGGGTCAAGAAAGGATAAGCGACAGTGAGTAAACCCAGTGGCTAAAATGCACTCATTTCGCCCGAGCATTCTGACTGTCTCTGTGGGTAGTTAGCTGATTCGTTGCTACTGTTTTTTGCTTGACCTTTACTGTCAGTGTTGTGCGCTTACTTTCTACACATTGCCGGATCTGCAATTAGGAAATGACATTCTAACTGCGTGAGGAAAAGTAGATTCGCTGACTTGTGATAACGAGGACATGTTTAATATAAACTGCTTGAAATAAGAGCTCTCCTTCTCTAGCTCTCCCGACCACTGGCAGGTTGTGCAAGAGCCTGATCCATGGCAGGTTGCTGAGGTCTAGTAGAGTGGTTGGCCGTGCTACGCTGTCAAGGTCTGATAATACTGTAGTAGCTGGCCATGCGAAGCTGCTGAGGTCTGACACCCTAGTATGTACATGTATATGACATTGTACATTCCGCTAACTGCTACATCAGATCAAAGTGCAGGGCGGATAGGGACTTGTCATCATGCCTATCGTTGTCCAGCCCAGTCTCTCCATCAAAGATTCGCTAAGCCTAAGAATCCTACCATGAGTGATAAACTAACTTCTCATCGTATAAAACTATATTTTACCAATGGACAACGTACGATGGTGGTTTGCAACATGCTACTACTGCTGGAGCGACGTTGAGTGCAGGGACGATCGTTGATCATCTACGTATCAGGTGTGGTTGTCAAACGCTTGTGGCCTTTGATGTGGATATGAAGATTTTATGCCCACTGTGCGTTCGTTATGCACCACATCTGCTGTGCACGTGGCATTACCCTATCTCAGGGAGAAATCATCAACCCAGTCATTCTGGGTAAAACTATTCCTGATAGCTGTGCAGGCCAGCACAAGAACCAGTACGCTGCACTTAACAAGGTGCTTATGTTCGTGTGCTTGATGGTCAATGGAATGAGTTCAACTGAAAGCAACGGTTCCGCAGGTCTTCGACAACCTCAGCAAGGTGGTCGGCCAGCAACAGTGGTGACGGTACTTGGCATAGAAGTCGACAGCGAGGACCAGGTGATGCGGCTACCTGACAAGAAGTTATTTGCCTTTCTAGCGGCTTTGAGTGAGTAGTCCACGCGCGCTAGCTACACAACGCGGAAACTGCTGTCGCTGATCGGAACCTTGTCCTTGCCGCAAAGGTGGTTCCTCCTGGCAGGACCTTCATCCGGCAACTCCTGTATCTTAGCTGGACAACTCTCTCAGTCTCTTCAGTCAGTAGTCAACATCAACACAAAAGCTCACTTGGACATCGAATGGTCGCGCTCCTTTGCCGCAAACTGGAATGGCCAATCCTTCTTCTACGATGTCGAGTTTTCAAAGTCCCCTGACCTTGAGCTATTCACGGATGCCTCTGATGTTGGCTTCTGCGGTTTCTATCAAGGACAATCGTTTTTGGGGCAACGGGCCGCTGAGATGCAGCATGAACCTATTGTGATTACTCGCTTCCGAGAACTGGCTTCCACAGCCAACCAGTGCCTGGTGCCAACTCCTCCGCTGAACTCGCCGCTCTGATTGCTGCCAGCAATGATCTCATGAGCGACTCAGACCTTTAAGCCCGGTATTTGCGCACACATAATCTGATGTACCCAGTTTCGGCTATGGCCTAGTTCCGGTCCCTGACCGCTACTGCCGGCAGCTCACGGCCAGTGTTCGTGTTCGTCGACGGCGGCTACTTCTCCCGAGTTTTCTCGACTAGGATCCTCAACTGCAACCGGGTGAGCTCCCATTCTGTGCGCATTGGCGGGCCCACACTCATGGCTCACCGGAGTACAAGTGTCTGTGAAGCAGCCATATGCCGTGCAGGCTGCTGGCGAAGTGCAGCATCCGATCACTATGTCAGGCGTGCAGCCGGTATACCCTCTGTGCAATGGCTAGCAGCAAAGACTGGAACAGCCCACGCCCATGTGGTGTTGAGAACAGAAGTGAGGTACTTTGTAGTGTTGTACAGTGTTGTGCCTTCCGCTTGTTGTGCAGTCCTTGTGCCGGTGTGGCTCTGTGGGTATCACTTAGGGGTTTGCCATGGTTACTTGCAGGAAGTTATGCTAATGAGCGATGCCGTGAGAAATGCTTGGTCGTAAACACTGGTTTTTGGGAGGGTCAAATGCATTTGCCTCTCAGTGTTGTGCTGTACTGTCTCAGTGTTGTGACACCTGTATGTTGTTGTGTTGTTGACCCGCCGGTTTGAGGCATGGGTGGTCA